ATACTCATTAAATAGATAGTGACAAATAGGGAATAGTTAGACAAGACAGRAATTCGGTGAGGCATGACACAGACTGGTATAGTGCTTTTCAAGCAGAATGATTTGCTTAAAAATTAAACCACACAGCTAAAGCGAAAATAACAACGAAACGCAAGTAAAATGATTCCAGAGCTTTTATTCCTTTGAGCTGCTAGCGCAAAAACGACAAAAGACAGAATTATATCTAAAATAACCACAATACGCAAGAAAACGCGTTTAAGAATCTTTTATTTGCGATGCTGCAAAATCAAGACATATCTAAAGCTAAAATAACCACTCAATACGCAAATAAAACTGAAGAAACTTTATTTATTTGCGCTGCTGCAAAATCAAGACACAAGACACATCTAAAGCTAAAATAACCACACAATACGCAAGAAAACGCGTTTAAGAGTCTTTATTTATTTGCGCTGCTGCAAAATCAAGACACAAGACACATCTAAAGCTAAAATAACCACACAATACGCAAATAAAACTTTATTCTCTTCGCCACAGCAAAATCAAGACAGAAGACATTGTAAGGCTAAAGTAAAAATAACCAATATCAAGACCCAGTACGCAAGCAAATGAACGTGTTTTTTAACGAGTTTATTGTAGAAGTCTGAACTAAAAATCAAGACAAGACGCACTTTTAATCTAATGACTCCAGAAAAATCTGAAAACAACGTGTTTTCAAACGAATTCTATCGCTCAAAGCTGCGTGTTATTGGCTATAAATCAAATAACATAAAAACGGAGACGTACTTGATAAGACCCAACAGCGCCCTTTTTCCTTTGCTTGAAGCTCAAAATAAGCCTCAACCTCAAGAGGAGTTTATCGCTTGTACGGAAAAGTTTGTGAGATATGTACCTTTTTAGCATGGGACTTTGACTACTTTCACTGTCACGGCTCACATATTTCGCCCAACTAATTAGGCTTGGGCAAGACTTAGGACATAGTTAGTAATTAGTTAGAGTGGTTTCCTGTAAATCATGAAAACAAATAGACCAACTAGTTAGTAGCAATTAGTAATAGTCAATATAACTTTTAGATATATAGACTATAGACAAATAGCTAACCACTAAAATTAACATAAAAATTTTGTTTTTGTGGTGAATATGTTCATACCTAGCAATCGGATGCAGGTCTACTCTAGACTAGACTATTAGTATTGGTAATAATAATAATAATAATAAACTTTATTGGGTGATAAACAGATAAAGCGAAGCTTTTTTCCAATCTGGCCCATAGGGTAGTAAATATATAAAAGTAAAAGAAATGTTAAAAAAGTCTTTGAGTCTTAAGTTCCTTAGAAGCAAAGAGTTTGTTTTTTGCAAGTTCCCAGATATGTGCTTTGAAGGACTTAAGAGTTATATATTTATTAGCGGTACGGAATGTACACAGGGAGGTATTGACGCGCGTGTCAGCACTTAAGTATAAGTGACTAAGTAAACGAAGTTTTGCAATACCCATCCCATGGGTATTTACATATGCAGAGTACTTAAGGTGTGAGTCATGAATGAATTGCCATTCGAAGGCATCTCATCGTTAACACAAATCTTAGTTTTTTCGTCTTGTTCTATAATGCCTGAAACTGAAAATGAAACGGATCTACTGGCTAGCGATACGGAGCCTTTAACAGCAGCTACAACTGGCCCTGGTCCTTCTGGATTAGACACTG